ACTGTGGGAGTGGGGAAAAAAATAAACAAGGGGAAAAGTTCCAGGGCAACTGAGGTAAAACAAGGACAAAGGAGAGTGGTGAAAAGGGAAGCTCACAGGCCAAGGGCAAACAGATGGAGGAAACACTTGAGGCTTTGGGCCCCTGGCCCTGTGCTAAGGAGCTGGACAGACGACTGCCACTCCTAGTCTGACTTTTTCTAGGACAGCAGTGCCACCTTCTGCTGAGTAACTGAAACATCTGAGTTGGGCTGCTTACTGAAGAGATGAGACCAGAAAGTTGAAGTCAGAGAACAAGATACTGTGGAACAGAAATGCTGAAGCATTGTTTCCCGTGGGACACTCTGCCACGTCCTCCAACTCCTTTTCCCTAGTTTAGGGCAAACTCAGCAACCTGAGGGCCCCATCCCTGCCACCCCGGGCTGATGGACCAAAGGCTCCCTGCAGAGTGGGGTCTGGAGTTCTCATCTCTTCCTCAAATTCCCAAATATGGGACTTGGCTCACAGGTAACCCCAAACATCAGTGATAAAAATAAGGGCAATTTCCAGTCTTTGTACTTCCTGAAGTCAACAGATGATACAGTTGGAGAATACTCAACTTTGCTGATCCACAATGCCAAGTCCTTTCCCAGAAACACCCTGGGGGTCTTAGTCCAACCCCACCCTCACATTTCTTTTAGGACATTCGATCCTGAAAAGGCCAGAAACAGAGAGTTCACTACCTCCTGTGGCACCTCGACTCACTACTGGCCAGAGACGAAGGGCAGCTCTTCGTTATGCGAAGGCAAACATCTCCTCGTTGCTTTGAGTTCTGCGTGGGGCTGCCACCGCCCTTCCCTCACCAGACCTTCAAACAGCAGCCAGAATTGCCGGCTCTTCCCCAATCTTCCCAATCCCAGCTCCTTAACTTTTCCCCACGTGACGTGGCTTTAAGTCTCCTCACCTCTGCTCTCCTTGGAGCACAGTCCGGTTTAAAATGCAGAATCCAATACCCCACAACAGACCTAGTGACATGTACGACCAGCCTGGGAAGCGTGCTGAAGGGGCACTGGTCGTCACAACTAACGCTACTGAATGCAGACGGGTCAGACACCAGTAAGCTAAGTATTCGTTACATTAACTCAGTGAATCCTCACAAAACAAATGAGGCAGATTTGATTATGCGGTCTCGTTGTCCTCCAGATGCTCTACTGCCTCCAATACGGCTCAAGACCCCATAAGGCTAACAGCTCAATGGACAGGTACAGGGCAATGAAAGCAGCTATCAAATAGTTCATTAATATTTTACCCAAGATTTTTGTTTTCGAACAACAGTAGTTCTTGAAGTTGATCTGCGGACCCCTGGGGGCTCTGCAAGGTCAAAACTATGTGTGTAATACTAAGACATTATGTGCCCTTTTGCTGTGTTACATTTACAGGGGCAACAATGGGTAAACTTCTTGGCCCTTTAGAATAAATCAAAGCAGCGGCACCAAATTTAGCAGTAGTCATACTCTCGGTTTAAAAAAAGCAAATTTCACTTAAGAATATCCTTGATGAAGCAGTAAAAATGATTCACCTTTTGATCACTGAGTAAATATTAACATTTTGAGTGAGTGAGTTGCAAGCTGAACTAGCTGCTTTCTTCATGGAATATCACTTTTACTTGAAAGAATAACTGACCAACTATGGCTATTCAGACTTACGTAGCTGGCAGGCATTTTCTTAACAACAAAGCCCGTCACTTCAGGGAAAACTCTCATGGTATTTACTGGCAACGATGAAATTCAAGTCCTCAAGCAAAAATTAGAAGCTGGGAAAATACATACTTCCCTGTGAGCATGATGACAACTTTCTGATACTTAATGGCTTGTTTGATGAGATCAGAAATGTCACTAACAAGTAAGATTTTTTTGGGATACTACAGAACAAAATGTGTCAACATTTAGGAGATCTGCATAACTCGGTGAACCAACATTGTCCAAATCACTAGTGTCTGATGATGTAATATCATGTATGGGCAAAAGAGCCATTTAAACTGCGAGACACCCGTGCATTTAAGTGAAGCAGAGTCCAAAAAGTTCATTGATTCACATTCTCGTTGCAACTAACCTTTAGGAAACTACCACCTGTTGAATTATGACGAAGCATCAAACATCCACAAGTACTTGAAGGGCTATCAAAATACTCTCCTCTTGGGCTTCCCTGGTGGCGCAGTGGTTGAGAGTCTGCCTGCCGATGCAGGGGACGCGGGTTCGTGCCCCAGTTCGGGGTGGTCCCACATGCCGCGGAGCGGCTGGGCCCGTGAGCCATGGCCGCTGAGCCTGCGCGTCTGGAGCCTGGACTCCGCAACGGGAGAGGCCACAACAGTGAGAGGCCCGTGTACCGCAAAAAAAAAAAAAAAGTTATGTGTAACTTTAAGATGAAAGGCATTAGCAGCTTCTTAGAAGAGGATAATCCAATCTTCCGGAGAGTTAATGAAATGTAAGTCACTGGAGCTTCTGACTTGGTCTGCTGTTAACTGAATCAAAGTCAATGACAATATGGCTGCACTTTGGTGTGAATTTCCTGAAGGAAACCCCGGCCATTTCAAACATGAGCCTCGCGGCTATTGTCTCATTGCTGTCGTGGTATTTATCAGGCATGAAAATAACTTCTTTTATCCCTGCCTGGATGATGAGCTTAGCACATTCATTACACGGGAACAAGGCGACATACATGGTACAGCCTTTCACGTCTGCTGAGTTTTTGTTCATAATGGCATTCAGCTCGGCATGGCACACGTAAGGGTATTTGGTATCCAGTATACTCTCCGCTGTCCTCCTCCAAGGCAAGAGGTCATCACTGCATCCATTTGGCATTCCATTGTACCCAATGCCCACAATCTTGTTTTCTACATTCACGATGCAGGCTCCGACCTGGGAATTTGGATCCTTGCTCCTCTGTGCCGATAAGAAGGCCACTGCCATGAAATACTCAGGCCATTCCAAATAGTCATCACGTTTTTTACAGGGAAATTTACTCATGCTGGGTCCATGCGGCCCCGCCGCCCATGTGGCAGCTCCTCTCGGACTCCCCGGAGGCCGCCGCACGCCCCGCGAGGTTGACCAAGCGCCGCCGGCCCCGCGCCGCTTCCCCAGCCGCACGTTCGACTGGGAGCGGGGGTGCCCGAGGCCGCCCGCTGCCCCGTCTGCCCCTCCGCTCCCGGCCCGCGACCTGCAGGCCGGTGCCCGTCCCCGCCGCCGCCCCGCCGTCCCTCCCGGGAAGGACAGAGGGCTGGACTTTGTGTTCTCATTTCTGAGGACTCCCTAACAGGAACAGAAATTGTTCCTTGAGGACTTTTCATTTCACAGATTGGAAATTCAAACGACTGAATGAAATACAGTAATGCACATCAGTCAACCTCCACGTGGGACCAAGAAGGGGGAGGCTGAACACAAAACAACACTAACCAACTTCCCCATCCTACCCCCTCTCTTTCTTGGCCGTTCTTCCTCTCTCATACAGGCATGTCATTCCCAGGGGATTTGCTGTATTCCAGAAGGGGTGACAGTTAAGGGCATGCATGCTGCTCTCCAGCCAACTTCCCCAGGAGGCTTCAGCTTCAGGCGAAGGCTGGCAGCTGTACACATAAAGGCTCCACGTCCCACAAATCCTCCTTTCTGTCTACAACTGAAGCCCTGACACTTGGCGACCCCCAAGGCTTATTTTATGCACAGGCTCCAAGGCCCAAATACCCCAAACACTAAGACAGAAGATGGACACTAACACTACTGACCATTTTCTTTCTGTGAGCAGAAAGAGCTTGACGGTCCTTGATGCAGGCCACGGGTCTACCCTCCTGCTAGTAATGCTTGGCCAGGTTCTGAAGCCTGCATTCCTCACTAGGCACAGAAAGGAGCTGGCATTTGTGGTATGTAGGACAACATTTCTTTTTTTTCCTGCATGCTGGTGCCTAAACGTTCTTTCTTGGTAAAATTTCTTATCTGCATCATCCTCAGCTCTTTGTGGGTTTATTTCAATGGTTGGCACAGTTCTAGCCAATCACAAAATCAGCTCAAATTTGGAACAGCTCATGCTATATTTTTGGATATACCCCTGCTTGATGTTATAATTGGGGATAGTTCTCCTAAATTCCACTAGGACACCTTAAAGGCCTCAGCTGGTTTTAAAGCAGTTTTTAGACACACAACTTGGTCCCTATTCCCCAGGCCCAGAGTAACGGAATTACTCTTTTTCTTTGGAAAAAAAAAAGTTTGTCCCCCAAAGAATGCTTCCTCAACAGGCACATTTGTATTAATGCCCAGCACACAGTACCCAACACTGCGGGGACGGGGTGGGGGTGGTGGTGGGTGGGGTGTGTGTGTGTGTGTGTGTGTGTGTGTGTGTGTGTGTGTGTGTGTGTGTGTGTGTGTGTGTGTGTGTGTGTGTGTGTGTGTGTGTGCCTTAACCTTCATCACGATGGGGTCAAGGATATGCAAATTACTCTCAGCTGCTACTGGGATGGAAACAGAAGAAGAAATGACTATGTTGTTTCAAAACAAACCATTCTGTGTGGTTTTCCCACGAGTGGGAGGGCACAAGCCTGGAAAAACAAGGCTTAGGCTCAGCATCCCCCATAGCTGGGAGAGGTCTCATTTCGTCTGGCTCTCTATGGCCCTTCTTCACATCTAGACGACTAAAGAGAGCCCATGGTACATGAGGCAGCCCTTATGGCTTCCTGATTCTAAAAACATTCCCACACCTAACCCACCTGCAGGGGCAGTGACCCCCCCAGAGCCCACCTAGATTCGGAGCAGAGGTGGGTTGCTGCACTTAGCCAAGTCTCTCACCTTGGCTGCGAGGCTGGAAATTGAGCTGCCTCAGGACAGTCCAGGGTAGTCTCCAGGTTTCTCTCCCCCAACTTACATATGGTTACACAGTATGTTAGTGAGACAGATCTTGACTAGACACACGAACTGAGCCATGTTGTTAAAAATGCCTTGTTCGTATCCAGCCACCCCACCACAGCCAACACCAAATACCTTTGGGTCATCAGCCTCAGGTTTTTCAGTCTCTGAATCGTCATCTTCCTACAAGACAAAGAATTTAGAGGATTAAGCTTAAAGGACCGGGCCTGAGGTTCTCACATGCATAACAGGGTTTGGAGCAAATCTACCCAGCCTGGGTTGTCCCACCAAGAACCCCTCCCCTACCATATGACCCAGGCTCTAGAGAAAGAGAAAGGGAAAAAGAGATGTTGGGGGGGGCGGGGAACGACATCGGCAGCTCAAAGTTGTTATGCCAGCAGTGCCATAGCCTGTATTAATGAAAATGCCTGAGATTAAAAACCACAAACACAAAAATGGAGAAAGGTGGCAATATGCTTGAGAAAAGAATAAGATCAGGCGCCACAGGATAAAACAGAAATGGTGTTTCCAGTGAAGTATCGGTGATTTCAAACCAGGTATGAGTCTTTTCTTCCTTCTTTGCCTTTCATGTACACAAACACATCAGACTCAGAGCTCCCATAACATTGTTCGCCCCCGGAGTGCCATGACCCCCACACGCTATACCCCAGCGCTTCAACCAGCAACACCTGCACCAACATGAACAGTAGGAAGGTAGGCATCAAACGACCAGGGTGAGTGAGCTGGGAAAGGCAGGACTGAAGGGCAATGCCCAGCCTGTCCTGGGTCCCAGCTGAGTGGGCCCTGCCTCCATGCAAGCACTCACAGAACTGCCAGTGACCCGTTCCATCCAGCCTTGTTCCCTATCCAAAGGGCCTGCCTGACACAAAGCACCACGCGGGCAAGGCATTTTCCAAAGTGTGCCCTGACCTCACCCAAGCTAGCCCACCATTCCACTAAATGCTAATGAAGGTCAAAGATCAGCTACCCTGTTAGGTAGCTATAATCCATATCCGTTCCACTACCCAGCACGCCCCAATATGTGGGAGCCATGATTTAACATCCAACAGAAAACTGTTTCATTTGAAACTGCTTTTTTCAATCACTTTAACCCCCAAATTAAAAAGCCTGCCAGATGTTAATATAAACACCACCTGAGAGACTTGAACTACACTGATGGCTCTGAGATTTAATTGTCCTGCAAGGCATCAGTGAGCCACAGGTTTTAAGCGCAATCTCCAAATCTCCTCCAAATGAAACCCATCAGGCCAAATAATCAGAGATGTAGCTCAGCCAAGTACAATCACATTTTAGAATGTCTATATTGGGATTGGATGCGAGGATTTTACTAAAATTTGAAATAAAGCTTAAATCTGGTAAAAATTCTATGCAAAGCAAATATAGAATAACACTTCAAAAACACACATCGTGCAAATTTGCTGAAGAAAAGTTATGGATGTTAAGCCACTATGTATGCACTTAAGAAAAGCAGAAAAGTGAAATAACTTACAAAGCTTTTCTAAACAATTTTAGTCAATTCGGAATTATTAGCAATCATGGGGGAGGGGAGGCCTAAGGGGATAAAAAGGTCTTCCAAAACAACAGAAAATACAAAACGCATTTTTGTTTAATTTGTAAAGCATTTTATCCCCACCCTCCCCCGCCACCCCCGCTTTTTTTGGCCGCACCTCGCGGCTTGTGGGATCTTAGTTCCCCAACCAGGGATTGAACCTGGGCCCTCGCAGTGAAAGCACAGAGTCCTAACCACTGGACAGCCAGGCAATTCCCTGTGAAGCATTTTAATGTTAACATTTAAGTATCAATGAGTAACAAAATTTTCAAACAAATAATATAGAACACTGAGCGTTTTAATTAGAGCTGTTGCTAAATAACCAGATTTTATATTGAGATTCAACTTTGTATGTCTTTGTGTTAAGCACCAGCCTGAATCCTTGTTTTTCTCCAAACTTTAAAATTCTGGCCCATGATGCTCAGGTGACAGTGTACCTAAAGTCTTTCTGATTAAGATGCAAGTTCTCTTTCCTTTGATAGTCAGCACATACTAAACATCAGGCAAGATTTGTGATCAAGAACACTTTGATAAAAAGTGCCAAATAGAAGTCAAGAAAGGAGTTAATAAGGATCAAATCACAAATAACTGTCCTTCCTCGTCTTTCTAATAAACTGAAAAATTTGAATGAACCCCAACCAAGATTACAAATAACACAGAATTGAGTGCAGATATAAATGATACACCAATTAGGATAAATGCAGTTACGAATGGAATAAATTATCTAAACAGGGAAAACCAACATAAAACACCCATTGATATCTGTGTTAAATAGAATTGTCCACTATCTTTTCCCCCAAACTTCAATTCAAAGGTTAATACAAAATGGTTCAGGTGAAAACGAACTTGATTTTCAAATAGTACTACTGATATCCAACCCAGTTTCCTCAACTGATACTAAAGAAAATAAAAGGGGGGGAGGGGATGAAATTAGGCATGAGATGGAACACTGTTGGTACAGGTCAGAAAGTTTCTGATAAATGGTCCTTTGAGCAGCTCTGGATTTGGGAACAGACTTACTTACCGACTGTTTGCTATTCTCATCCTCCTCTTCTTCATAGCCATCTTCATCACCCCCGAGGCGAGAAAAATCATCCTCTCCATAGGCTTCAGATACCAATCCGCCTTTCTCCTCTTAAACAGAAAGAGAAAAATAAAATGAATGAATGGGGGAAAGAATGCAAAAAAAAAAACCACCTGAGTGATCTGAGTTGCCAAGACTATCTCTGAAGAGAAAAGGAAACCTAAATCTCATGTAAGTGACCTTAGGCCCAGATTCTGCTTTTGGGAAGATCACAGAATTTAGTGCATGAATTCATTAAAAGAACAGGGAAGAAAACCAAGTAATATTAAATTCCGTTTCTAATGCTTCCAATCCGCCTATTATGCCAACTGAAGCCTTCCCTTCTCTGAACTATTATACCATGTTGTTTAAACATCTCTTTTGAACAAACGTATGGACACCAAGGGGGGAAAGTGGCGGGGGTGGGGT